CTCTTCCTCTGACAATGATGATGAAAATGAGAGTGTCTGTTCATGTGGTGCCAGTGGTCGTGAAGGTGATGCCTTTCCTAAGGCTTTTGAGCGTGACCTAGTTACACCAACCAACCTCATGCTTCTATCTTCATCGGACAACGAAGCTTCAGATAGTCGGAAGGAGGAGAGCAGGCAAGTGTCCTTTGAGTCTTGTTCCTCTGTCCAGCATCAGAAGTCTCTCTCAGATGGGACAGATGGAATAAATGCAAAGCTTGCAAAAGGGGAAAAGATATATAGTGTGGAAGATGACAAGACACCTGTGGATATGTTTCATACGCTTGAAGAAAGGAGGAGGTCATGCCTAGATCATCACTGGGCCATTCCAAGTATTGATAGATCATCAGTTGACAAGGAGAATGATGATATCGTAATAACTTCTGAGGAAACGTGCAGCAACTCAAACGCTGTTGTTGGTGAAAATGTTGCAGGAAGTGATGAGACTGACAGACAAGGACAGCTAGTGAAACTTAGCTGTCATGATTCTGGAATTGACATTAGAGATGCCAGTGTGTTAGATTCTATAGGTGCTGGGTCTCATGTCCTACCTAGTCAAATAGAACCTGATCCTGTTTTACCTCAGACAAAGAAGTTGTTTTCAGATGCAGACATCATTAATGCATCCACAAATGATTGGATTCCGCCTAAGACTGTTGCCGAGCTGACGTCTGTCATAGATACTATAGGAATACAGAGTGGTGATGCTTATAATAGGAAGAAGACATCTTCAGTGTCATTTAGCCTGGACTCGAATGCTGAGAGTAGCGGAGAAGGCACTTGCGCTAGTGATGGAAAAGAAGGAGCTGTAGAATCTGGACAGAAGTTGGATGATTCAGAGAAGCCCGAGAGCCGTAAAAATAAGGTAAGATAAATTGTGCTTGTGGCTGAACATTAATGCTCTTCAGTTGATGTCTCCTTATTCCAATTACTAGTGAAATGATATCATTATTCACATAAATAGGAAGTCAACTGGAATAGTTGTGTATATTAGACTATCAGATATACTTGAATAACTTAAGTACAGGAAGTTAAGAGCTCCTTACTGATATTGCAGTTAGGAAAATATGTAAACAGGCATGAGAATTGCATTTTGTAGAGCGTGAGTGTAATTTTCTGTGGTGTGCACTGTTGCATTATTCTGCTGAATATTGCAGCATAATTATGTTTTTATTCCATTACTTGTTTGTAGAACACTTTTACAGTTTTCTTTACATTCCACTTTGGCAATGGATGTAGCTTTTTGTGATTATTGTACAATTTTAGAATTTATGTTCTGCTTTGTGCAAGTGAATTCGTCAATTGCTAATAAAACTTCCTATCACAATTTCAACTATACAATTGTTCTAATAGACCAGTTGGTCATTTTTGTTCCTGATTGATTTGAAACCTACAAGAAAAAATTGTGTTCCTGATGCACAGCTAGTGTTCCATAACCACTAGTAAGTCTTTTTTAAGGTTTTCTACTTTTTATTTTATTTTATTTTTCCCCCATATTTATAGATGCTGAAACGTTTGTCATACCCATTAGCATGGATGGAAGGCTTAACCAGTGAGAAGGATGAGAAGGAAGCCTTATCATCAGTACCAAACTCAGCTGATAGTCAACATCACTCTTCAGTGTTTTCTAAGGTGTTCTCAAGGTAAGTCTCTCTCTTCAGAGATTATGTGTTTAATGAAATTGTGTGACTTTCTTGATGTATTGTTTCATTCCAAAAGATAACCTTCATCTTTATCAGGTCTGGAAATGTCAGATGACATACAGATAAAACCATATCCTTTTGGGCATGTTTGCATCCCTGTAGAGCATCTGTTAAAGTTGTATTGTTTATTCATCTTTTTGTACACATGTAGCAAATAGACAGTGGCTGAATGGATTTTAATGAAATTCGGTACTAAAATTTGTCAGCACTTTACTCTCTTGATCAAAATCAGGCAACAGTGACAGACAACTAAGGCCTATATGTATTTCTTTGGCTTGGTGTGACTGGGTGGGGAATTCTCCAGCCATTCACAAAGGTCAAAAGTTGAGGTATTCCTGCATGGGGAATCCTAAGCTAAGGAATTCTGCAGTCATTCACAAATGCCAAAGGTCAGATTCTGGTGAATATGCCAGAATTCTTACAGTATGTGTACGCTTTCTAACTTGTTCCATTATCATAATATTGGTTTTCACTGATGTTGCCTTGTCTTAATAGTACTGCCTTTCTGGTCAAAGTTCACTCTGTGCAACAAGAATCAAGCACTGACATTTTCTAAGTCCCAAAATGTTAGTGATGTGTGTGTACAGCAGACATCATAATCTTCTTGCGCTTGTCCATATGTGGATTTTCTATGCCTGCCATTAAGTACAATTATAATTGTAAATAATTATTTATGCAAGACATTTATTAAGTAAAGACACTGATATTTGTGCCGAATTTTGAAGAAAAACATGAACTATTGTTAATGATGTTTCTTCTTTTTTCTTCTGTTAGGAATATTTATTGCAATTTGAAGACTTTGATGGTTCTTTATGATATCCTTATGTAACATATGTAATGAGATTTTGGGTTGTGGTAACTGTGTTTGTTGGTTACTGGGTAGAGTGTGAGTTCCTAGTTTTGTTGTTTCCCCATCATTGCCCTACTTGTTGTAATCCCACCATGACCCTGCAGCTCACCAATCAACCTTGTGAGTGACTTCAGTACGGGTTTGTTCCTGACCAAGACTCCCAGTGAGGAGAGTAGCAAGTCCCCAGGCCCTGGGCCACCACCCCCAACCCCTGCCCCAGATATTGAATCTGTTCCTGATACTCCACAAATGAAGAACAATCCAGGGACTACAGCTGCCGCAACAGGGGTAGGGGTTGGCGGGTTCTCCATTGCCGACACGGCTGGAGCCATTATGAGTGGTGTGGGGTAAGCCTTGTAAACCTGTCTGATGTCCATTTTGCTTGCAGTCATTCACATTCAAACTATTTGCTGTGTCTGTCAGTTTTGATTGGTTGGATTTGCTGTAGTTTTGGTACGAAATGTGTGAAGCTGTTTGTCACATGTGAAGATTATGGGGAATGTTTATCACAAACTCTGTGACCACTATTGTCACAAGTCACTGTATGCAGTACAACTACGTTTATTGTGCCTGATACCGGAAAGTGATGGGCAGGAGAATAGTTTCTAATAACAGATTATATTGCCTGTTCTTGTGCGTATGAAAAGTCGTCTACAACAGCGACCTTCATGTAATGAAAAAGTCTTGGTTATCAGGAACTTAATTATAAAGAATTCCAATTTTATAGTACAAAAATTGTGTAGAAGTTAATACTCGTGACTTAAGAGTGGTGTTATATATTTTTTGTTGTTTGACCTGTAAATTACAAATAAAGCCATTGTTTCATTTTGTTCTATCAATAAACTTAGTTGCACTGGATTCAGAAGTTGTTGCAAGTATTGGAGCCCCTGGCTTTCTATGTTTCACATGCAAATTGTGCTGTTTTGTGTGCTGTTTGAATATCACTTGGTGTTAATAGGATCTACTAAATGGTGTGCATGGTGATAAACACAGTCTTTGTAGGAACTCTCAGCCAGTTTTTAGAATAGAAAGATATTGGTGTTTCAACGTTTTATTTATTTGTATCGTGTAACTTCCAGGTACAGCATAATGTTGATATCTGATTTGGATTTGTGTGTGTGTGTGGAAAACCCTTTTGCACAGTTATAGTCAGAGATTATAAATTTTTTTCTATAAAGATGAAGTCATCTATGCCCATTGCAGTTTTGTTTGTTAGTAACCATTTAATTCATAAAGCAATAGCTCTGGCTGTGTATCACAGTAGCATACTGATGAACTATTAAACCCAGGATATTTAAGTCTAGTCAAGCAGACCTATAATACAGGATTTAAATTCCCAATTCCTGTAAGGTAAAATCTCATTACCTAGTCAACATGATAAGAATGAAAATGATTTATTAATTTAATATATATTCAAATTATTGATTCAGAAAGAATTGTATGTAATATGAAAAACAGCAGACTAGTACTTAACTAGTTAAATGATAATGCCTGAATCAGAACATGCTAAAATGTATTTTTATAAGAAACTTAATTTTAGAGGTATTTTAACTTTAACATGTGCAACCATGACCTAGGTAACAATAAAAATAATACATCATGTTGATTTACAATACTTGCTAGGTATTTGATAGTGTATCTGAATTCTGTTTGGACAGTCAGTGGTTAGTAGTGAAGTTAGAGGGAAACTCTATTGCATTTGGCTGTTACCTTTTCCAGCAGTTTTTTCAGGAAACTGTTGACTACACTAAACAGTTCTCGTGTTTGAAAGGTTGCAGATTATTGCCAGGGTAGTGCAGACAATCATGACAGTTAATTAAACAGTGGTGCTTTTTCCTCTGAAGAATAAATTGTGTAGTCACATGTGAAATTCTGCAATACCAGATATTTGCCCTCCAACATATTATTGAGAAGAAGGCTGGCAGCATTTTGAAATGTTACCACCTGATTTTTATAATTAGCTCTTTACAATTTTGATATGTGCTGGCATTTGGTTATAATTAATACTTATTGCTAAAGTTTTTGCTTGATATTTGTCTGTACATACAGTTTTAGGTCTTATACTGAAGTACAGTTCTTTGGAGTATGTTCTGGGATGGTATCCTTAATAGTGGTTTTTGTCCAAGCTTTGATGCTGATGTTTGTAGTTAAAATGTGAACCACTTTATTTGTAGTATATTTGCCAAGTGTTGGCTTCAGTGAATGTGAAAATGTCTCAGTCTTTATTTTTCTCATATGCATTGTCTTGAGCCTGAAGAAAAACTCTTTATTTAACTTATAATTTTTTTAAAACTAGTTTTCCCTCTTTTCCGTCACACTACCTTTGTTTCACTTTTCTCATCCTGTGATTTTACTGTTTGCACTGCCATAGCAATAAAAGGCATCATTCAATTCTCTTTCTGTGTAATGTTTTGTTGTTGATGATGTAATGCTGGAAGACTAGGTGCTTTGTTATAGGCACTCTTATTACCACTGAGGAAAACTGTTTATGGTCAACTTTTCTAGTTCTTTATTCTTTATTTGGAAAATTGACTTAACATCTGCTCATCTTTTTTACTGTCATTCCATTTAAAGTCTGTCAATATATCACATTCTTCAGTTGGATTAATATAATCTGAGTATTTTAATTGTCTTGATATTACTTTTATAATGGTGATAAACCTGTGCTAGGTATTTTTAGAAATTGTACAAGATTCTGCATTACGTAAAAGGAGAAGGAAAATGTACATTGTGAGGATTTTGAGGTTCGTTAAAAAATGTAGCCAGTCAAATGTTGCATAATTTCTATTGATCATGGTTAAGTACAGTGAAACATATTTTTTTCAGATTACACTTGATACTGTATATATTATTGTTGTTGTTTAACATTTTTCACTTGAAGAGTAGACATCAGATGCATGACATCAAAAGTTACATGAGCTGGGTGTTCAGGATTCTGTGTTAGTAGTATGTTTGGACTGTTATGACAGTCAAATATGTCATAAGAATGAAAAATTAAATACTTCCCTCAAAGGATATGTAACAAATTTGAGTAGTTTGTTTACAGTTACATTTGAATGAATTTGTTTTTGTTTTGTATTAGTTGACTTTGAAGTTGGAATGAGCACTTTAAAAAAATTTGTGTTCAAAAATGCATAAGATTATTATATAAGGAAGTTTCAGAGTTTAGTACAAGATACTATAAATACCTGACATGTGCATATTTTCAGAAATGATAGTTCTTATATATAACTGCATGAGAGAGATATTCTCACCATCCTGAAATATTTACAGAAATCATTGTCTTACATCGAATTGTTTTTATCAAAAATACAGGTTCCATTACATAAGATGATTTAAATTGTGAATATTAAAAACAAATGTTTGTTTCCTTATTTATAAATGCAGGTAATTTTATGTTATAGAACTTGTTCATAATTTAATTGTACCCTTCATGCATGTCTAACTTTGCATATGAACAAAGAAACACTATGTGTATGATTCAGATAAAAATTTGACAAACAAATAAGTGAAGAATTGGATTGATATTGAAATCTCAGTCTTACCCTACCCATACCCCACAGTTACTGGGTAAACTGTTTTATTTGTGATATATTTAACACTGCTGTCAGTTTCTCGGACTGTATAGTGCTGAACAGTAGAATGATTAATGAATGAATGATGAATTGTAAGGATATGGAAGATGCAATCTTGGCCTAATTAAAGGTACTAACTCAGCATTTGTTGGGAGGGACTGAGTAAAACCACAGACCCTCAGTATGACCAATATGTGAACATAAGCACTTATCATTATTTGGTCAAGTATATGAAAACTTAATAAAGTTTCTTTATTGGACAAATTTCTAATTGCATACAGATATTTACTAAGTTTGTGCTGTGTTTACTGTGTGGGCTCAAGAAGTATTTCTCCTTACTCATATGTATTGTGATGTAAGCAGGCCCATTTGCAGTGTTGTATATAAGAAATGTGATGCAATTATTAAGATATAAAATAAAAAGTACTTACTTCTTTTAACTGTAAAATAGAGGTAAGGAAACCAACGAGCTTCACTTAAAAGATTTTCAATTTATCTTCATAGAGCTACCAAAATTTCCTAAGAGTAAAGAGGAGCAATGAGAAAGGCAAGGAACTTTAAAATGAAATATTTCAAGGTACACAATTTCCTTATACTTTGAAGAATTTAATAGCAAACACTTAAACTCCATGGATAATTTGTCACGTATTGATAGTCTGCGTGAAAAATTTGTGTTATTACAGTATTTACAGTTGCTTCCATTTTCAGAAGCCATTCTTATGCTCTTTTTTTTCCTACAGGCGTTCTTCAGTAGGTACATTCATCAGGCCACATTCCTCCTCATCATATTCTGACACCCGCTCTCAGCAGTCAGCTGCTCCAAAGTTGGACTACCGTAGTATGGTGTCAGTTGATGATATGCCAGAGCTGTTTGTCTCTTTTGACAGTAAGTACTTGCAAGCACTGTTTTGTTAGCTGGCTGGTGTACAATGCATCACCACTCTTTTGTGAGATGTAATGTTGATCTTTTCTGTTACATTTTCAATTTGTGTAATAGTGTGTTTAGAAAGTGAAGATGCTTTAAATGTCATATCACATTCGAATTAAACCATTATGAAACCTAAAAAATAAATAAAAAATTCCAGAAAGTGGGATGACTTCATAAGAAATAAGCCACTCTCTTAAAAATACCTGGTTTCCTAATTTTTCACAATAATCATCCAAGGTTTTTTTTACATTGTTATGTCACTAAATTTTAACATGCAAAGTTCATATAAATAACTTTCAGGTGTTACTTTTGTGAGTACAGTGTTTCACCATCTTAAAAATAATATATAGATCATTACTTTGCATGGTTACAGTGCTTTTCTATTGGCAGAAGTTGTAAGAGTAAATTCTAAGGTTTCATTCTTATAACGCATTTTAAAATTGCTATTTGATCATGG